ATATATAAAAGTCTCATTACTTTATGAATTTGTGAAAAGTACAATATTTGTCTTTTATTCTTTTTTTGTGGAACCGGGGATTGAACTCAGGCCCTTGTGCTTGCCAGGGAAGCGCTTATTCTACTGAGCCATCTCCCCAGCCCCATTTGTCTTTTATTCTGTAGAAATTTTAAAGGCATACTTCAGAGTAAAACATTTGAAATGTAATTTAAAACTCACCTAGTTTTCAATTTAATTATTGAACACAAGCAATGGGATATCATAAAATGATCAAAATGATTTTGCAAGATATTTTTCATCTTTTCAAAAACAATTCAACTTTATATTAATGCCATTTTAATGTTCCTTTTGTTCTGTTTTAGATGTTGTGCATGTGAGTGTAAATTCGTCTTGGGTTTGGTCTCTCTCACCGTGGCAGTGGTGCTGTGTGCTGAGAGCAGTTGGTAAACATTCTGCCCAGTGAGTTCAGGCCATAGTTGACTGTGGAGCACGGATAGCTTGGAAGACTTTGACCCTGGAGTCAAGGAGAAAGTGCCCTGAGCACTTGGATGTATTTGAAGACATAATGCAGGTAAGGGAGCATGTTGAAAAACTTATTAGGTAAATCCAGTTTTTAAATTTAGTAAACTCACACTCCTGTAATCTCAGTACTTGGGAGGCTGAGGCAGGAGGATTGTTGCAAGTTCGAGACCAGCCTGGGCTACAAAGTGACTCAAGGAGAGCCTGAACTGCATAGTGAGATCTTATTTTCAAAAAAGACAAAATAAGGGCTGGGTAGATAGCTCAGTAGACTAAAACGCCTGCTTAGGCAGACACAGGGCTGGGGTTCAATTCCTGGCGTGATGTGCTGGCCCCGCACCCAGGGCATATTGAGATGGCAACTGAGACTGGGTGTGGTGGCATGTGACTATGATCCCAATGCTTGAGAGGCTGCAAACAGGAGGATCACTATGAGTTTGATCTGTGTAATGAGACCCTATATCCCCTGTACTAAAATACATTTTTACATATTTTTTTAAAGTTTAACATATTAATACTTGATGGAAAATACCTGTTCCATGTTAGCTCTAAGATGTTTGATATTCAGACAGATAGTGAGGTTAAGCTCAACTGCTTGTGTTGTAGGGTAATAATATAAGCTTCTCTTCTGGTGGGTTAACAACCTAAGTTTGCAGATCAAAAATTAGAGAAAAAGAAGGGCTGCAAGGACAGCCAAAATTTTGGTTCTATCCTTTCAAGGTCCGTGAAGACTCAGAATATAGGAGAACCTGTACTGTAACATCATGTAACTCAGTTGTGTCCCAAATTTTCTGATCAAGGAGATTATGGGGCCACAGAAGAAACTGATCAATGATGTAAAGTGTGCCTAAGGAGAGTCACATGGAGAGAAAACATTCTCTCAGGCTTTCACAGCAAGCAAATTGGTCAAGCAATGGCCTTGACTCATCCATATGACTGACATTGACAAAGGATCTGCAAACTGCGGTACAGGGTTTCAGGTTAAATCCTGAGGGGGTTTGACTGACCTTGTCAGGTACAAAAGTTACATTTCTTGTTATATAGGTCTTGCTTTATCTTGGTCTTAACCATCCTGCAGAAAAGTATAAAAGCGAAGCATAAAAAGTAAAGCCATATTAATATGCTGAGCTGTAAAATGCTCAAGTGAACAACTTCTGACATTGCCAGTCCTATGGAAAACCCACTACTATTATGGACTACTGGACTATATTGGATTTTTTGCTGAATCCATGCACCTACAATATTTAAATGATAATGAAATACCCTTCTCTGACAAAACTAAACAATAAAAGGGGATACAAATGAATGACCATTCTGTATCTGTATATTCAAAATAGGATAGATATGCAGATACTTTCTCTTAATTCAATGAATAGAAAGATTTGTTCTAATAGTGTTTGTGGACAGGATATCATGTCTGCATCTTGTACAATGAATAACCACTAAGACAACAATATGCAATGTATTAATTATTGAAACTGTCCTACTAATCAGTTTTGAAACTATCTCATTGCT